AATGCAATAGGACAGCCTCTGGAAAAGCCACCAGAGATCCTGATGGACGACCACCCGAAAAGCCACTTGAAATGCTACCGGAAAAGCTGTCGGACGGCTGCTGGAAAAGGCGTCGGAAGGCCACCGAAAAAGCCCTAGACAATTGCTGGAAAAGCCGTCGGACGGTCGTCGAAAAAGCCACTGGAGACCCTGACGGATGGCCGCCTGAAATATCACCAAAAAAGCTGTCAGACGGCTGCTGAAAAAGACGTCGGAGGGCCACTGAAAAAGCCCCGGACGGCTACTGGAAAAGCCGCCAGCCGGTCGCTGGAAAAGCCGACAGCCGTCAACCACTTGTGGGAGGCACCCGACATTTTATAAATTAGCAATTTACTTTGAGGATATTTTGGTAATCTAAATATTAAGCCTTTGACTAATATTTGACTAGATCTATTCTAAAAGGCTAAAAATAAAAAAAAAATGATTAATTTTAAAAATTCTCCTTGAACTATGCTTCTTATAACAGTTTGCCTTCTGAATTTTAAAACGTAACATCCGTTTTTCTTGAATTTTGTTCCGTTAACAAGTTTTCTCCTTCTATTACAATGAGTGACAAAATTGTCATGTGTAACTTATTTAGTGAGATTTAAAAGTATAATTACGCTTATACCTTCCTAATCAGATTAAATCTCATGGATTAAGCGACAAAATTCACCATCTTCATTCTTAAAAACCAGTTTTTTTTCGTCACCTTGTTCATCCTTGGTGAGTTCCTGCAGTACCTTTCCTAACAATGAAAAGAGCATTCAAAAATACATTTCAGTGTCACGTACAAAGAGTACCGTTCGCACTAGCTCTATGTACCTAATCATTGCCGGAAATAGTGTGTAAAAATTTGGAAACTTCAGAATCCAGCAAATTTTGGAAAAGGGTAAGACTTCCATGAATTATGATTGGTTAAGCGTTCTGCTTTTATTTTAATCCGAAATCTCAGAGCAACAACTGCTGCTTGTTTTGCGGCCTCAGGCTTAGACTTAACCCCTGCGATCGCTACTTTGGATCTACCAGATTCAATTGGTTTTTACTCCACCGTCGCCGACTTAATCTTTAGTTCGTCTTTCTTGTTTGTCAACTCCACAGAAGACTTGGCCTGGTCATTAAAAGAAGAGGTCTCGGCCACATTCATCAGCTTTGCCATCTCCTTTTTTTACTTCTTCTCACACCCTTCCGCTCCAAATACTCGGGATGATCAGTTTTTTAATCCTTTTTTAATAACATGGGGTTTTTACAAGGTATTTTATGATAATATCTCCCTCAGATGGGTTATGTATGTGATATGTAGCGAATTCTGTCACTCATTGTAACATAAAAGAAAAACTTATTAACGGAACAAAGTTCGAGAAGAGCGGATGTTACGTTTTAAAATTCGGGGGACAAAGTGTTACAAGGGTCATAGTTCAGGAGGAATTTTTGAAATTAATCCAAATAAAAAAGATAATCTTTAAGGGTTAATAATATGATTAATTTTAAAAATTCCCCTGAACTATACCCCCTGTAACACTGTGTCCCATGAATTTTAAAACGTAACATCTGCTCTTCCAGAATTTTGTTCCGTTAACAAGTTTTTCCCTTATGTTACAATGAGTTACGGAATTGCCACATGTCACTTATTTAGTGAGAATTGAAAGCGTAATTACGCCTATACCCTCCTAATCAAATAATTCCCCATTTTTATTAAAAATTCACCATCTTCTCTGTGGGAAACATCATCAGCTTCAACCAAAATTCATAAATTAGATTTTCCACCAATAGAAAGGCATCAAAACATCATTAAAGCTTTACAAAAACACAAAAATCACATCTCTACACATCCAGCACGACTAAGATCTCATTGCCGTACTCGTCACGACACTGCAAGGGCATGTCTGACTTGAATATCTCCATCAGGACCATCACCAAGCCACTTGAATCTCTATATTGTCTTGGAGCCGCATAGGAGATCTCCTTCGCGTGTCCATCATGGGCCCACGACCAAGATTTCGTTGTCGTTCTCATCCCACGCTACAAGGCCGCATGTCAAATAGACACTTCAAGGCTCTAGCTCCTTCACGACAAAATCTCCTTATTCTTTGTCCACTCCAACAATGTTTGGGCAGAGAAGTATGACGAAGGAAGATCAATCTCTCATCATCAAGAACCTTTCAGATCTTGTGCCATTGACAAGAGAGGTGCCAACAAGAAAGAGAAGAGGAAAACACGTCGACTGCACGGCAAGGTATGTGGAGATGTGATTTTACATTAAATACAATCAATATAGAGGAGAGAGGAGAGAGGAGAAGTCAGAGATTACAAAAAGAAAGCAAAAAAGAACTCAAAAATAGAAGCAAAACTAAAGAAATAAAAGCTAGAAACATAACATAGGCGAATGGCAGGGAGGAAAGACGAAGACATGATATTTTACGATAATACTCTCTTCAGATGAGTTATGTACCTGACACGTGGTGAATTTTATCACTTATTGAAATAAAAGGGAAAAATTTATTAATGGAACAAAATTCGGGCAAATGGATGTTACGTTTTAAAATTTAGAAAGTAAAGTATTACAAAGATCATAGTTCAAAGGCAATTTTTAAAATTAATTCTTAATAATGATTTGTTGTGCTATTTTGAAGGATAGTTTTAAAAATCTCTCGTACACACTACACCAACAGGAATGTAATGATTGTTCTTTTTTTTTTTTTTTTTGAATCTCACTATTGCTCACTTAATCTTTTTCCAAACTACAACATTGACACAAGTGCTGAGTAACTTTTTTTTAGATAAAATCATTTTGACACATTGTATTATAATAAAACATCTCTTGAAGGCGTGTATTAAAATGATACTTAAACATTTTAGAAAACATTTTTTAGTGCGTTAAGGTCCTTTTAAGTTTTAAAATGTCTTTATTACCCTTCTAATTATTTGCCCTTTTAAGTTTTAAAATATCTTTACTACCCTTCTAATTATTTTATCCTAAATTAAAAAACACAAAATATATCAAAAATATTAAAAATAACCACAAAAAGAATAAAAAAAATAATAATAAACTCAAGCTTTCATGTTCGCCCTCAGCTATTTGAATCAATATTCCACAGCAAACAAATATTCCAAAGTTTCAGACTTCTCAGATTGAAAATCACCACACTTCCTCTTCAGCTAATAATCGGGTCTGAAAATTCGATAAGTTCATATCCAATTTTAATTTCCAATTTTTAGTTTAAAATCGAACACCAAAAATAAAATTTCTATTTAAGCCCCGTAACAATTCTCCAATTTCTTCAGTTCAAAACGATCACCAAAAAGGAAAAATTTTTCATCAAAACCTCACAAGTCATACCCAGTTGCCAATTCCAAACTTGAGCTCAAAACTGAATACCAACAAAAAAAAAAAAAAAAAAAAAAAAAAAAAAAAAAACCCCACCCACCCATTAACCACTTTCTAGTTTTTAGCTCAAATTGAACGCCCATAAAAAGAAAAAAACAAAAAACAAAAAGCATGAGTCCAAATCCAACATCAACATCAAGTCATGAGTATCGATCTCTCATCTAAAGAACTCCCCCCACCCAACCTTACCAATCTTTCTGGTTTTATAGGCATTTACTCCAAACCACCGTCGCCTAACGATCTCCCCAATCATCTCCCCGTGCGCCCCCCTCGCTCATCACCCCCAACTGACCGCTCGCCAATTGAATTTAGTTTGAAATTTGAATTTGGGTTAGTTTGATCTTGATTTGAATTTGGTTTGAATTTAGTTTGAATTTTTGAATTTGGGTTTAGTTTGATCTTGGTTTTTTTTTTTTTTTTATATAAAAATGATACATATGAGTTTTATATGTATGATTTTTCATTTTGTTTTTAGAAAATGTTTTAAATTATATTCAGACTTTTTTAAAAATTTATAGGTTTCTATATAATCATTTTAACTGTGTTGAAGTTGTTTTTGTTTTTAGAGAAAAAAAAAATGAAAACGGAAGAAATTGACGTTTGGTAGAATTAAAAATAAAAAACGAAAATGAAAATAATTTTTTAATTTAGTGTAAAATATGAGAAAAATAAAAAATAACTTTTAATTATTTTTTATTTTTTATTTCCGTTTTCTCATCTCTCAAATAGAGCGAGAGACATTAATGAAATTTTTATATTAAAAATAATTTCTTGATAAAATTACCAAACACATTTTTAAAAATAAATTCTGTCTAAAATTGAAAATATTTTTATTTTTATTTTAATACAAAAACTAAAATCATTTTAAAACGAGTTCTAAATGCACCCTTTAAGTCCCAAAAAGGAACCTCAATATACTAAAAAATTGTTATCTAAAACGTTGAAATGTCATTTTAATATTATAAAAATACATAGGATATCAACAATACAGAATACCAAAATAATTTTATCCCCTTTTATTTATTTTGCTAAAATTAGCCATAGCATTTTAATGGCATTGGTGGAGGAGGCCTTTGTAAAAATAACCTAATAGAAAAGCTTTATTCATAAAATGACAATTCAAAAATTTTTATTTGCAAAATGACTTTCTGAGAAGAAAGAAAAACGAAAAAAAAATCAGAACTTCACCCCACCCCACGGATCCACTGCTCAGCTCGATCCGAACTGCCACATTCTCGACCTTTTCGAGCCTCGACGTCGCGATCGTGAACGGCACGATCAACAGCACGTTCAGAGCCCTGCTCTCCGCCCTCTGAATGTTTACCATGCTCGTCTCCATCAAGTTTTTGAACCCGAACCTCGCCGGCGTCGTCACCAGGGCCATTCTCGGCGTGATTCTGGAGGTGGGTCTCGGCCTTTTGGGGATTTGGATGTGATGGAGGTGTTGAAGAGATTTTTTTAATGCGGAATCTTGAATTGTTTGAGCAATTAAAATTAAAAAGTCATTTTCATAATTTTACTTTCTTACTCGGTTATTTTAGCCAAATTCTCTTGGTGGAGAAGAAAAAATCAAAATTACTATTGAAAAATTTCAAGCGGGTAAGGGTTTCTGGAATTTAAGAAATCAGATAAAGCATCCATTACCTGATTGCCAGTGTATCTGAAATGAATACAAATACATTCATGAACAAAGTTAAGCAAACGTTGGCCAAAAGGTTCAGAAAACCATTGTTTATTCATGTCAAACAAAATAGCCTCTGTCAACAGACAATCTAGTTAAAGAAAAAAAAAAAAAATACATGGAGGCTATTGTGAATGAAGCCTTCTCACTGCTGAAGTAAAACAGAGAGAGAATATATGCAAATGCTTTTTCACCGTTCAAGAAGCCTGGTAACAAGCAAAAACATGCAAGAGTCATCAGTACTGACTTGAAAAAAGAAAAAAGAAAGAAGCGTATATTTATATTGTTTGTATATATATTATGACGAATGTTCTTTCCCTGAATACACTAGTACACTACATATAAAGAAATAATCTGAGAAACCAAGTGAGAATGAGATAACATTTGAACAATAAAACAAAATCCTACAACAGAAAGGAACTAAAGAGAATTCATGTGAGAGAAAACACTGTGACAGAAAAAGTTGAACTTAAATTTTTGTAAAAAAAACACTGTGACAGAAAAAGTTGAATTTAAATTTTTGTAAGAGAAAAATACTGTAGCAAAAACTTGAATTGTATTTGATTTAACGAAACGAACGGGGCCTAAAACTAGCACATCATGAATGTTACAGGTCAGGTTATCGAAGTCGCGCGCAACTTATCATCATACCATCTGAAAGAGAGAGTGGAAGACCAGCTATGAAAGCAATCACTGAATTCCATATAAGAAATAGGTGTTCCTACCACACACCTTCAATAATACTGATTTCTCTAATGTTCTTTTTTTAAATAGATATAGAAGATTTCTCTAATGTTTTTAAATCTGTTATCCTCCTACAACAGAACTGGTCAGCTTCCCTTCTAACAGCCTTAGGATATATCAAGAGTCAGACGGAAACACATGCACAACACACATTGGCATAATTGCGCCAGATAAAACACCAAATCAAGATCAGCCACACCACTCGTTGAAAGTATTTTCTCACTCTTTAAATGTTTACCCCGGCATGTATCTAGCACTATAGGAGGCCGAAGGAAGCAAAAGAAAAGACAGTCGACTATTAATATATGTGAGATTGGAAATGTACCAGCCTAAGTTCCTAGAGAGAATACAATGAAGTACCTTCCTAACGAAATGTAATTGTCTTTGCAATAAAGTCATACTATGGAAAACGGACATGCACCTAAAAAAAAGGCCTAGTTTAGGATTGAGGTTTTGCCCCAGCATGTATATACGCCTAGTTTAGGATTGAGGTTGCTACCCTTGGAGATATATATATAATAGACATAAAATGTGTTCGATCAACAAACCAAGGGATTAACACCTCTGCAATAGCTTTTTTCTATAACCAGTAGGGAGTAGCTTTCTTTCTTCAACTTCCGTGCAATACTTATTTTAAAAGCTTTTGCATAATACCAAACCGGGCCTAAAAGTTGAACTGGAAAGTGGAAAACTCAAAACTGAGGGTAAAAGTAAAACCTCTCGAAAAGAATTCCCCCAACAGAAAGCCTTGACATAGCTCTAAACCCATCAGTCGTATATAAAAGCATAGCAAGACCCTGTAACAAAATTATCCTCAATACCTAATAGAACGCAGGTTGATCTGTTGTTACCAACCAAACCAAAGCAACAAGCACTTCAAGAGGTTCAAAGTAAATTACAACAAGAATCAATTTGAATCCCTTTTACCCAATTCAATCTCCTCCTTAGCAAAAAAAATTGTATAACCATTAGATTATACAATTCCACTAGCATGTTATCATCTTCACTATCAACAAAATAAACAAAAACTAAAACACCTAAAATTGGGCATTCAATCTCACAGTTTAACCAAACAACCCACAAAAGAAAAGTACAAATATCCAAAACTAGATCCACAAAGCAACGGATTTAGCATTCCTTGAAAGAAGCTAAAAACATGAAACTTCTACTATCCAAACACTAAAACTAGGAAGCCTTGATCCAGATCAAATAATTGCATGCTATATCAAACTTACCAACCTAAATATGCTTCATTTCTGACGGCGTCATATGTGTTTTACTTATACTAACATTAAATTTAGTCCATGCAAAACAAGATCCACAAAAACAAACTTTAACACTCATTGTCCACTTTCAAAGTGGCAAATTCCAACAATCCAAGAACTCAAATGAGAAATCCCCATTCGGAGACAAGCAAGTATCAAATTGAGCGCAAACAGCAAGAAATAAACAGCTAAAAAAATCAAATTGACCAGCCTAAATTCCCAATTTCAAAGCAACGAACTTTAACATTCATTCTCCACATTCAAAGCAGAAAATCCAAACACTCATATCAGGAATCCCTATTCGGAAACAAGCAATTATCAAATTGAGCGCAAACAGCAAGAAATAAACAGCTAAAAAAATCAAATTGACCAGCCTAAATTCCCAATTTCAAAGCAACGAACTTTAACATTCATTCTCCACATTCGAAGCAGAAAATCCTCACTATTCAAACACTCAAATCAGGAATCCCTATTCAGAAACAAGCAATTATCAAATTGAGCGCAAACAGCAAGAAATAAACAGCTAAAAAGATCAAATTGACCAGCCTAAATTCCCAATTTCAAAGCAACGAACTTTAACATTCATCCTCCATATTCAAAGCAGAAAATCCTCACTATCCAAACACTCAAATCAGGAATCCCTATTCAGAATCAAGCAATTTTCAAATCGAGTTATCAAATTGAGCACAACAGCAAGAAATAACAGCTCAAAAATCAAATTGACCAACCTAAATTCCCAATTTCAAAACAACAAACTTTAACATTCATAGTCCACTTTCAAAGCAGAAAATTCCCACTATCAAATCACTCAAATCAGAAACCCCTAAATAATCACTATCCGAATCAAATTGATCGCATAAAAGAAACAAAAGAAAAAAAAAAAAAAAACTCTCAAATCAAATTTTACCAACCGAAATATATGCTCATCATTTCTGATAGCCTCCACCGCGAGCGTTGTAGTCTTCTTCGACGGCGGCAGTCAAGTAAACCCTAGGGAAATCGGCGATGTCGAAGGTGGTCTCCTTCTTCATCCGCTCGACGTCGGCCTTCTTGAGGACGGTGCGGCGGATCGGGGGGCGGTTGCGGCGCTGGTCTCTGGTGTAGTACTTGATGTCGTAGACGGTCTCGGGGTTGGAGGTCGGGACGGAGGGCTTGAGCTTGGTGGTGGCCGGGCAGGAAAGGCGGTACTCGAGGGCGCCGGGGAGGGCGGAGCGGTACTCGGGGTCGGCGCAGGGGCCGGTGATCTCCCATGGCTTCTTGAAGAACCGCTTCAGGGATTGGAAGAGGGACGTCGTCGCTGCGGTTGCGGATTTCGCCATTGTTGAGGTTGGACAGCGGGGAATGCGGAATTCTGAAATTTTGAAAAAATAACTCTCTGAAATTAGTAAAATAACTTCTCAAACATTTTTATTAATAAAATAATCTCATTTTACGAAAAATAAGTAAATATCTTTCTTTATAAAAAATAAAAAAAATCATTTTACTAATTTTATTTTATTGAAAAGTCATTCTAGCATATTACCGGGAGATTTGTGCCTTGTAGGTGTGGGAGACGAGAAACGACGTTTTCTTAATTCCGTTGACGACATGTCGTTTTAGTGCTCAATTCTTTTATTATATTTTGTTTGGATCAATTTTAAATGCCCCTAAACTATAGCTATTTTTTCACTTTGTCCCTTAAACACTAAGGAGGCATTTAGTAGAGGAATTCGTTCCCTGATTCGAATCATGATTCGTGATTCGCTACAGTATTTTTTCTCATAAAAAATACACATAAATCAAAAATGGTTCGAATCACATGGTTTGAATCCTCCAACCAAACAAACCCTAAAACCCTCAAACAAAACTTTTGTAAAATTATAACTTGTGTTATTTAAGAGACGTTTGGTTCATAGATTAAAATTATAAGATTAAAATTATTTTTAATTTATGTGTATTTTTTTTAGAGAAAATATTATAGTAAACAATGAATCATGATTCAAATCATTATTTGAATTTCAAACGGAGAGTTGGGATTACTGCTCACACAATCACAATTTACTGTTTCTTCTACAGTGAAATGACGCTTTTGCCCTCGATTTACTGTTCTCTTCTTCTTCTTCTAGTGCAAGGGCGTTTTCCTTTCCCCCTCGATTCTCTTATCTTCATTTGCTCACTTTCTTGGTTGTTTGTCATTTCGTGTGGGATGCAGCCCTAAGGGTTCTATCTTCTCTCGATTGTTTTGGGTCCGCCGCTTTCTATTCATTTTTGTTTGCTGCATAATAAGAAGGTATTTTGGTGAAAAATGATATGCTGTGTATTTCAACAGTAAAAGAATACATCTTTATACACGATTCTATACAATTTAGATCCTATTTTAATGCCTATAAATTAGCTCTGACTTTACTAAGATGGTAACAAACTAATTGAGTTAATATACAATATTTGCTTTCCTATTTTACTTGATTGTCTTCAACATTCCCCCTCAAGTTGGAGTGTATGTTAATAACACCCAACTTGCTGAGTAGTGTATCAAACTGTAATGTACTCAACGCCTTAGTGAATAAGTCTGCAATTTGATTGTTGGTCCTCACATGTGCTGTTTTGATCAAGCCCTCTTGAACCTTCTCACGAACTAAGTGACAATCGATTTCGATATGCTTCGTTCGTTCATGGAAGACCGGATTTGAGGCAATGTGTAAAGCAGCTTGGTTATCACAGAACAACATGACCGGTTGAAGATGTTTGATTCCCAAGTCCTTCAAAACATTCTTTAACCAAGTAATTTCACAACATGTAGTGGCCATTGAGCGATACTCTGCCTCGGCAGTTGATCGAGCCACCGTAGTCTGCTTCTTTGTTTTCCAGGAAATGGGTGATTGTCCAAGAAATACGCAATACCCTGTCACAGATCTTCTTATGTCTTTGCAGCGTGCCCAATCCGCATCACAAAAAGCCTTTAATTGAAGTGTACTTGTGGTGGGTAGTAGAATACCTTGTCCTGGTGTTTGCTTCAAGTATCTAAGGACTCTATGTGCTGCCTCAAGATGTGGTACACGTGGTTTGTCCATAAATTGACTTAAAACATGGACGGCATAGACCAAGTCTGGTCTAGTGATGGTCAAATAGATCAATCTTCCTACAAGGCGCCTATACAACAAAGGATCACTCAGAAGGTCTCCATTGGATTGTGTAAGAGCCAAGTTTTGGTCCATAGGAAACCTTGCTGGTTTAGCTCCCAAAAATCCAACATCTTCTAGTATCTCCAACGCATATTTCCTTTGAGAGAGAGAAATGCCTTTTGAGCATCTTGCCACTTCGATGCCCAAGAAGTATTTGAGTTGACCAAGATCCTTGAGTTTGAATTGCTTGGATAAGAACTGCTTTGAATCTTCAATTTGTTGCAGATTGTTGCCTGCTAAAATCACATCATCAACATAAACAAGGATTGCCGTAAAACTACCTTTATGGGATTGGACGAATAGTGAGTAGTCTGCCTTTGATTGCTGAAAACCAGCACTCTTGAGGGCTAAAAATAGCTTCAAAAACCATTGTCTAGAAGCTTGTTTCAAGCCATATAATGATTTATTAAGTTTGCATACTCGAGTCTCCCCCTTTCGTCCGAATCCAGGAGGTAGTGACATGTATACATCTTCATCAAGATCACCATGCAAGAACGCATTGTTGACATCAAGTTGGTGAAGATGCCATCCTTGAATAGCAGAAACACTAAGTAGTACACGCACAGTAACTAGCTTGGCAACCGGAGCAAAAGTCTCTCGATAATCAAGTCCTTCAATCTGGCTATATCCTTTGGCAACCAAACGAGCCTTGTAACGCTCTACGATTCCGTCAGATTTAAGCTTCACCTTGTATACCCATTTACATCCTATGGGTTTCTTGCCAGGTGGGAGAGGCATAAGTGTCCATGTATGGTTTGCTTGGAGAGCTTGAATTTCATCGCGCATGGCTATGCGCCATTGAGGATCCTTCATGGCCTGTAAGAAACTAGTTGGTTCTTTTGTAATGGTTAAGGAGGTGGCAAAAGTTTTATGAGAGGTAGATAAACGATCATAGGAAAGTACTTGAGACAGGCTGTATGGCATACCTGAATTTGTGACCACGTTAGAGGCAGATGATGGCCCAGGCCGAGACGGGAGGGGTGCTTCCACATGAAAATTCTGAAGGAAAGTGGGTCGTTTGGTTGGTCTTGTGGAATGACGACGGTAGACTAGGAGAAACCATATGATGAGAGTTATTTTCAATATTTTCAAGCTCATGATTCTCTGATGGAGTATGTGTTGGTGTTTCAGTGGGACTTTGTGGTATGGTAAGATCATCATGAAAAATAGAATCATTAGGAGTAGGAATTATGGGACTTTCAATGGCAGCGGAAGTGTGTTGAAAAGGAAACTCTTTTTCGAAGAAAGTAACATCACGAGACACAAAAACCTTGCGAAGCTCAAGATCGTAGACTCGGTATCCCTTTTTTCCATAAGGATAACCAAGAAAAATGCAACGGGTTGCACGTTTGTCAAATTTGGATGGCTTTTGGGCATGAGTGGAAGCAAAACACAAACATCCAAATACTCGTAAATGTGAGTAATTGGGTGTTAAATTAAAGAGCCGTTCATAAGGTGTTTTCCTTGCAAAACTGGTGTAGGTGTGCGGTTTATAAGGTATGCAGCAGTCAAAATAGCATCCCCCCAAAAGATTTTTGGGAGATGGGCTTGAAAGAGCAAAGCTCGTGCCATGTTTAGCAAGTGTCTATGTTTGCGTTCAGCCACACCATTTTGTTGCGGAGTGTCAACACAACTAGTTTGATGGAGAATCCCTTTGGACAAATAATAGTCTATAAGTGTAAACTCAAGGCCATTATCACTACGTACAACCTTAACTTTGGAAGAGAATTGAGTTTCAACCATATTAATGAAATTTATTAGGTGAATTGGAGTTTCTGATTTGTAACGCATCAAGTAAACCCATGTGCATCTAGTAAAATCATCAACTATGGTGAGAAAATACCGAGCCCCAGAAATAGAAACAACGTGATAACCACCCCAAATATCAACATGTAATTTCTCAAAATATGATTGACTAGAAATTTTACTCAATGAAAAAGGCAATCTGGTTTGTTTTGCTAAGGGACAAACCAAACAATTATGGGTAATGCAAAATTTATTCTTGTCCAAAAAGGGAAATAACACAGATACTTTATTTGAAGGATGGCCAAGGCGTTGATGCCAAGGGACGGATGAAGAGGAAATGATTGAATTGCATGAGGCTTTATGTGGCTGATCAAGGTAGTAGAGTCCCTCCCGTCCAGTTCCCGTCCCAATCATCTTCCCCGAGCGTAGGTCCTGTATCACACAAAAATGAGTAAGGAATATGGTTGTACAAAAGGAGTAGTGAGCAATTTTGCTTATGGAAATGAGGTTTAATTGAAAGATTGGGACACACAAAACATTATCAAGAACCAAACTGGATGAGAACACAACTTGACCAACATGTGTGACATTTACAAGAGAGCCATCCGGTAGTTCTACTGTTTTATTCTTAACAGCCTTTGAAGTTGTGAGCAATTCAGGGCTAAAAACGATATGATCAGTTGCTCCACTATTAAGGATCCATGTGGTTTTCTTACCTTGAGAAGAAAAGCAAAGAGCTTTACCTGAAAGTTCATCATGAGTTGAGGGATTACCCACGTGATTTGCCATGGAAGACTTGTTGTTGCTAAGCATACGCAGGATTTGTTGGCACTGCTCTTGAGTGAAAGGGAAGGAATTAGATATTTCATTCTTCTCGGCTTGTTGTGGAGCAGCAAATTGATTGCCTCGGTTTGTTGTGGAGGTTTGGAATGATTGATCTGATTCTGCCTTCTTGAGTTTTCGACAAAAGTCAATCGTGTGGCCCTTCCATCCACAATAAGTACACTTTAAATGTGCCCGGCAATTCTCTGCACTATGTCCTTCTTTTCCACATTTTCCACATTTGTAATTACTGCCTTTCTTGTTTAAATCCTTGACCGCAAATGCTGCTGCCTCAGACTGACCTGTACTCTTTCCTGCAGATACGTCTCGTTGTCGTTCATGTCTGAGAACAAGAGAATAAGCCTTACTGACCTTGGGCAAAGGATCCATCATCAACACCTGTCCGCGTGTCATGGTAAAGGATTCAGTTAATCCCATGAGAAACTTTATGGTTTTCTGTGTTTCTCGATAAGATAACTCCTCCTTCATAGTTCCACAATGGCAGGCTGGAATAGGGAAAAGAACATCCCTCTCATCCCATAATCCTTTGAGTTTGGTAAAGTAGGGGCCAACAGACATGGTCCCTTGAACACAATCACGTATCTCATTTTCAATATGAAAGAGTTGGACGCTGTTTAC